CAAGGGGAAGGTGTTTTGTCGCGCCCCGTTTTTTCTCAAAATGGATTTTGGTGCTCGACCTAACAACTCTTTTGGGTTTTGGGTTGAATTAAAGAGTCGTCACCTAACAAATTAAGGCGTGTTAGGGTACCTATCTAACCTAACTAATCTAACTAAGGATCAACGAACTAGAGATCGAGTAAGGGTTCAAATTACCTCGAGGGAAAGGTGTTAGGCATTCATCGAGGCCCAAAACGGTAGGTCCCGGCCGCATCTCATGCAATTTATGTGGGGCGTTACAAGTAGCAATTAAGGTAACTTCATTTATTTAGGTTATTTAGCTTAAACATGCTTACTAAGTGATAAATGACATTCAACAATTAAGGCTACTTCGGTTATTCATTATTTAATTAATTAAGCATGCAAGACTAGGTGATAACATAATATTAAACAATTATGGACACTTCATTTATTTATTTAACTAATTAAGCATGCAAGACTAGGTGATAACATAATATTAAACAATTAAAGTAACTTCAATTATTTATTTAATTAATTAAGCATACAAAACTAGATGATAACATAATATCAAATATATAAACACGAAATAGTTATAGATAAGCGAGAAGACAGAATATACACAAATAGATAGGCAAAACAGTTCTTATTTTTATTAAACTACTCCAAATAATTATAATTATTATAAACATATAAAAGGGAGAAGGGAATGGAGACTCTAAAAATGACAACTTTACGGATCAGCGCTCGGCTTCTATATAGAGACAGACAAAATAAATGTTTGTCGTTTACGGCTCGAGGCAATGTCATCATCTCCGTAGGACCTAAACTATCCCTACCCCACCCTCCGCATGCATTTCATCTCTAAAAGGTGCATAACGCCCCCGCTTAAGGTCATTGGACTACTATTAGGGTGAATTTAGACCAAAATAAAATATATGCTTCTAAATAGGCCCCTTAGACACCAAGTCAAATAAATAAGACGAGTATTTAGCACGTAAATCTCATATTTGCCTCTAGATTTTAATTAAACATGCTGGCAAACACAGATAGAGTGAAAAGTTCGCATGTTAAGTGTGTGGCATACAAACAGATATTACAACAGTAACTGGTCGATATTAATAAGGCATGAAGTTACGACAGGTTGCAGAATTTATTTAATTTTAAGGAGGGCAGGAAAACAATACATAACAGAAAACAATTTATTAGTTGCAAAAACAAATCAGGTTATTGCTAGTTAACATGCTGAGAATGACATCAATTTATTTAAGTAGCCAAACAGAACTTATATCAATGCAGAAAAGTTACTTATTTTGAGGGGCAGAACTTAGTCAGGGAAGCAGATATTAAAGTTGCATGCAGATAGTTATTATGAATTAAATTTAATTGATAGGGCAGTGTTCGAAATGCAGAAAATAACTTTTGAGCAAATATCTAATCAAGCAAATTATTTACGTAGTTTAGCATGCTGGAAATAGTTGATTGATTTTAAGTGGCAGATATCATTTGACAATGAGCAAAAATATGCAACAGACTTATTCATATTATTTAATATGCTGAAAAATTATTTATTTAGTCTTAGGCATAGTTTCTAAGCGAAATGTTGAGATTAATTACTGATCCTAAGCGTACTTACTATATGAAGATGTAATAATCCAGAAATCTATAGGCATGATTGTCTAAACCCCAAATGACATATAAAATAAAACTAATCTTAATGAGCGTGATTTCTAAATGCAAACACATTGAAAATTACGATAACATTCAGAAAACCTATAGGCATGATTTTCTAAATGCGAACAAGCTGAAAATTTATGATATTCAAGAAAACCTATATGCATGAATTCTACAATCATTAATTAACTTACATGCCGAAATTGGCTTGAGATTATTTTTGGATAGATTGCAGATTTAAGTTTTCTAAACATGTTATCAAATAATTGAGATTAACCTGTTAATTGTTAACATAATAAAATTCGTTAAACACTCAGACAAATTCTCAAGGGCCCATTTTATTAACATGCTAAGCTAAGAAGTCCAAATCTAAACAACTAGATTGGTTTTCTAAATAAATGTTCAAATTATGAAACAAGCTTTATCACATAATGGTCAATTTTAATAAAGGTTGGTTTTAGGCAGATTATCTAAGGAATTCGGCCATATTAGCATGCTTCACATGTTTCAAGCAACATGGACAGATTTTATAGCAATCACACGTAATGAAATAAATAAGTAAAAGAACTGTTAGCACGTAATTCCCTCTCCCCCTTAGACGGTCCCCCAAGTTATTTCCTATATATAGAGAGAGAGTTAGAGTTACACAACAATATTATTACAGAAACATAATAGCAAATACAAATAATATGGCTAAAAATAAATCTTGTCTCAATGACCCCTTCCAGGCAACTCTTCGAACTCTCGGAACTAAATTCAACCTGCTAAATCAAAGTGGAAGAGTAGGTGGATATAACATATAAAATCACACTTGTACAACAAACTAATTATAAAATAGCTCAGAGAATACACACCAGATTCGAACAAGCAATTCATTCAAACAAAAATATAAGATCACACATAATAGAGGGAGAAGAAAACAGACCTGGATGCTTTCTTTTATTTATTAATACCCAATTTTGGACTTAAGATAGCTAAGATGATGCATAACAGAAATTAAACATGTATAAAGGATACTAACCAGTTATGCAGTAAAAGAAATCAGCAATGAAGATTCACACTTAATCCAATAACCGACCCGAACACAACAAAATAGCAAGTAGAACGGAGCTTTTTGTTTACTGGAAAACTTAATTATTTTAGAGAGTAGAGAGCGATATTTTTTTAGTATTTTCGAGTGTAAGCCAATGTCTGAATCAAATAATGAAAGGAGGGATCCTTTTTATAGTTAAGGGGAGGGGGCACAAATAAGGAAAATGGATAAATCAATTTAAAAAATTAGTTTTCCTTATCAGAAGAGAATTGAATTGGTCAAATTGGTTTAATTTATTTTTTACCAAATTAAAAACAATCCTAAACTATCTTCTAATTAAGGTAAGGATACAATCAATGAAAAACATGTATATACAGGAAGAACACAATAAGGTAAGGGGAGTAATAAATATGCACCAATTCACTTATTCATGGATTACTATAAATATGACAAGTAAGAATCAGTCAAGACAATTATTAAGGGAAGGAGAGATCAATTTACAACATTATTAATTAATATAAAATAAAAGTCAGCAATAAAATTATAAGGAAAGAAATAATATACGCCTTTAGACTTACCATGGGGAGGAGAGATTTCCATGAATTAAGCATAGACATGCAAGCTAATTAACAATCTATGGAAATCTAGCTCAGCATAATAGCAGGGAAATTATGAACAAGAAATTAATTGAATCAATTAAGATGCTAAATTAATCAAATATGAGAAAAATTATGAGTACAAACTCACACATATAAGGCGATATTTATGCTAAAATCAATCCAAAATATATCAGACTAACAGTAATATTTCAATAATCGGGAAAAAACCACATAATTATTTTAGGAAGAGCACACAATTCTCGATCAATTAAGACTTAAATCATGATTTTTCCTTATAGAAATCAATCAAAGGAATTCATAGATTAATAACTTATTTATATAAATGTAGAGAAATGTGCAAACCATCAGTTAGAGCAGACTATTTGCAGCAAGTGTACTACAACTTCACAATTTGAAGCCTAGCAGATCATAGCAGGAATAATGAATACGAATTTGAATAACAAATCGACAGATCACAGTAAAACAATACTCATGGATTCGAATAGAAAATCGGCAGATCACAGTAAAAGTAATGGACAGACTTTAATCACATCAAATACAAGGATAAGAATATAGACTAAATCAATTTGCAGACAACCTCATGAACTCATGCTTGCATAAGATTTCGACCATTAGGCCTTCATATACTTAAACATGTAAAAATCGCACACAAGACTCAAACGAAAATGTGAATTTGTTAGCCCAAACGAGATGATAATTGAAAAAGGAAGCGAACCTGGATGAAGACGAGGGAGAGAGGGGCTCTCCGGCTCTTGATGGGAGAGAGGGAGGAGGCTGGGTGGCGCTTCTATGGAGAGGACGGGGAGAAAGAATGGACATTCTTTTAGGGTTTTGATCTTTAAAATAGGAAAGCTGAAGAAATTGATCTCAGGCGTTGAGATAAAAAGGTGGAGGGCTGAGATTGAATTTTGGAGCTTGATGGACGGATGAGATTAAATGAGGATTTGAAAGTTTTGAATCTGATTTAAAATTGATTGAATTTGGATGGCTAAAATTGAAATAAAATTGGCTAGAATTGAAATGAAAGGGTGGTCATTATTGAAAAATAATTGGAATTGAATAGGCTAGAATTGAAAGGAATTTGAATAGATTAGGCTAAGATTTAAATAATTTTTAAGGAAGAATAAGGGAATGTGATCCGATTAATAAAATACTACATATTAAAATATTTTCACATAATTAAACACATCTAATATTTTAAAATATTTATGTAAAATAATTATTTCGAGTTTAACTATCGATAAATATAATTTAAAATAATTTGATAATAATTACAATAATTTTTATAAATCAAGCATACTAAAATATATAATTTTTAGACAAAGTCGACTAAATTTTAAACTCGAAATATGTTTTAAAAAATACGTATTCAATCGAATAGCATTCCCAAAAGGGTTAAAGGTCGGTCAAAATTGGGTGTCAACATTAGAAAAAATGGAGTTACATCGAATTTCTTTGTCAAATTTATAACTGATTTTTTTTTATTGAAGAACACCTTACATTTACATAAAATATATTTATTGATTTAAAGAAATAAATTTCAAACTTCTATCCTCTACAAATTAAATGATGAAAATGAAGGTAATGATGGCAGCCATGGTGGTGGGCAGGTGGCAATTACGATGATGTCATTCTTAATATGAATGACAATGGGGCAAAAATTAAAAGGAGCAACGATGGAGTTAAACGAATGGAAATGTCCAGAGGAAAAAAAGAAAGAAGAAGGATGTATGGCCGGCGGCAGCAAACTGGTGTAAGAGGAACGGATGGAAAAGAGGTGAGGAAGAAGAAAGAGTATTTTTTCCCCACAAAAACGCCTAATTAAATATCTTTACACGCCTATCTGAGGTGAATCACAAACAATGTGTCATGTAGGCAAAAAATGTTTATACGGTTCAAATTCGAAAGGGTAGAGGTGTTCAATAGGTACAAGTCTTAGTTGAGGTGTCTAAGTGAATTATGCGGATAATTTTAAGGGGTCGTACATGAGATTAACTTGTGTGCACTAACAGTGGAACTCTTTTTACGTTGTCACTTAACTTTAATGCACACAAAAGTTAAGTTTTTCCATTTGATAAATATTAAATATAGTGTTAGAAGGTAATTAGGATTCTAAATTTAATTTACCAAATTAGTTTAGGATTCTGTTTTTTTGACTAACAAAAATATTTCATCGTCATTCTTGTTTCGCCCTTTTTGTTTTAGTGGGTATTGTTGTTTCTTCATATCACCATCATTCACTTTAAGACACAAAACCTGGGCTTCTTTTATGCAATACAAATGGATGTAGAAGGCCATTTAGCTAATTGTTTTTGGGTAGATGCTATGTCTAGGATAGCTTATAAATTTTTTGGTGATATTGTCATTTTTTATTCTACGTTCTTGACAAATAGATATAAGATGCCTTTTGTCCCATTTACCGGAGTTAATAACCATTATCAATCCATTTTAGTTGGTTGTGCTCTTTTTTGGGATGAAACTCAAGAAACTTTTGAGTGGTTACTTCGCACTTGGCAAGAGGCAATGTTTGGTGTTATGCCTCGTACAATTATCACAGATCAGGATGTTGTAATAACAAAAGCAGTTGTGTTTCCATATTGTGCACACCACTTTTGCATGTGGCACATTGAGAAGAAAATTCCTGAATATTTAAGTCATGTCTGTCATCACTTTGATGATTTCAAAACAAATTTTAGTAAGTGTCTACATGGTACAACAACGCCTGAGGAATTTGAAGCTGCATGAACTGATATTATAAGAACCTACGATTTGAAAGAAAATAGTTGGTTGCAAAGAACATATGCAATTCGTGAAAAATGGATTCCAGCATATGTGAGAAGGAATTTTTGTGCTGGAATGTCAACAACTCAAAGAGGTGAAAGTATGAACAAATTTTTTAAGGATTATCCTAATTCTAGTACACCGATGAGTGTATTTGTAACACAATATGAAGCTATTGATGCTAAAGTTGGTACCAAATTTTACTTAGACACCTTAACTGGGCTTTGCTCATTTTAGACACCTTATGTAGATTTCTGCTATAACATTTTGACACTTTTTGCTTACATGGCATAGTGAGTGTTATACACACACTTACTGCGCGTGAAAGCCTTATTTCACTAAAAAATTTTCTCTTCTTCTTCTCCATTTTCTAGCTACCATTTCCCAAACTTAAATTTTTTCTATGGTAAAATAGATTTAGTGATGCCACAAATAAAAAAGTAAATTTCAGCCCACAAGATATCCTAAAAGTTTAAATTTCAATATTACAAAATAATATGATATTTCTTTTTCAAGTATTTGAATCATTTGCACCGAATTGCAAAAAAAAAAAAAACTTCCATTGTTAATTAATAACTAATTTTTAGAAGTAAAGAAGAAAAAATCATACTTTTATAAAATAAAATTTTCAAACTAATTAAATTCTTTTGAAAGTGTTTCTTGAAAATTTGATATGGGTGGAAAAGGGGTTGAGGTTGGAGTGGGTGGGAGTGGAGAGGACGATCTGGTGGCTGGTGGGGTGGAGGAGCGATTGGGGTTGGGTGGATGGGGTGGAGAGAAAGATCTGGTGGATTGTGGAGGAGTGGTTGGGGGTGGAGAGGAAGATCTGGTGTCTGCTAGTGGGGTGGAGAGGAAGATCTGGTGTCTGCTAGTGGGGTGGAGAGGAAGATCTGGTGTCTGCTAGTGGGGTGGAGAGGAAGATCTGGTGTCTGCTAGTGGGGTGGAGAGGAAGATCTGGTGTCTGCTAGTGGGGTGGAGGAGCAGTTGGGGTTGGGGTTGGGGTGGGTGAGGGTGGAGAGGAAAACTGGGTTGGGTGGGGTGAAGAAGACGATTGGGTTGGGCATGGGGTGATGATTTTTTCTTTAAAAAAAATTATTGTTTGAGTTTAAAATGTCACATGTCATCAAATTTGTGGCCATCTTTTTTCTACTCAAAAGTCATTATTTGAAATTTATTTTATATATATATATACCACGTGTCTTTGTTTGATTCATCACTTCGACACGTCATCAACGATTGTATTACACATACTTGTATATTTGGGTGATTGTCAAAAAAAATGTCAAAATGACCAAACAAGACCCTACATAAGGTGTCTAAAATGAACAAAGCTAGTTGAAGTGTCTAAGTGAAATTTAGTGTCAACTTTAGGGGGTCATCAATGGGTTGAGCCTTATTATTATAATACCAAATGTCATTTATTTTCGGTCCAATATTAACCATTTTTATAACGTATAGTTAATTAAATAATTTTAATTTTCCTAAATACTTAGTGAATATTTATTGGTTACATTTTAAGTTACTTAAAATTAATGAGAAAATTACGCAACTAAACAAACATATACTGGTTAATTATTTATAAAATAATTTATAGATGCAGTTTATTATCTAAGATGCACGGTGTTCTTCCAATTCTTTTCAAGATGATGAAAGCTCTCTATTTTCTTTCACAAATTCTGAGAACTTTCTATACTCGTAGAGTCGTAGTTGATCGATGACATAAAATTCTTATTACTATAATAATTCATATTTTTTTTTTCTTTACCCCTCATTATGAATTATGATTTCGCTAAATGTAGGAATGACAATGGGGCGGCGGGTTGAGCTTAACCCATAATATTTTTAATTTGTCTCGTCTGTATAATAACTTTTTTTCATATTCAACCCGCCCCATTTAACCCTGCATAGACCTGCCCGCATAATTTCTTTTAATATTTTATTTTTCTATTTAAGTTTGATAATAAAATAAAATTCATAAAAATAAATTTATTTTTTCATCAAGTTGTATTAATTTAATAGATAATGACTTGAAAATTTATTTTTAGAGATCTATTGGGAAACATGTAAGAAATTATATTATTTTCTTATTGAACCACTTTCATTTATTATCTTAAATAATTTAGTAACTTTAAAGAAATTATCTTAATAAATAATGCTCTTTCAGTCTTATAACATGTAAAAAGTTAAAATTAAGTTTGAACCCGTCTCGCATTAGTTTTTTAAAAACCCACTTCAACCCACCCACACAACCTTAAACCCGCCCCACATAGCCTTAAACCAACCCCTACTACATCTGCCCTGCCTCATTGCCATTCCTAGCTAAGTGTACTTAGGAATTTTTTAATTAATTATTTTTACAATTGTTCATATTATATATATCCACGAAGCAATTATGTGTTTGGATTAAGTTAATTTGGGACGGATGTAGTTAATTTCGATCGGATATAATTAGAAATGGTTGAGATGTTATTAAGTAATTCAAAATATAACCAATAGATGGTCGCCATATATTTAAAAAAAATCATTAAAATTATTTAAATTATTGTCCATTATAAAAGTGGCCAATATTCGACCAAAATTTGGATGAAAGGAGGCTGTTTGAAAGCCAATAGGTGGACGGGTTATGATTTTGTACCACTTTATTCAAGTGTATTTTATACCCTTTTTCATTTTCTCAATGGCTATTGAAGTTTTGAAAATTATCGTTAAGTATTATTTTTATTTTATTTAATATAAAATAATCACTTAACTATTATTATTTTCCATATCATTAAAGCTTTTTTTTCTTAAATAATAAATCTATTTAACTAAAATTATTATCTTATTATTTGTTATTAAAAGAATATATTAGTTTATCAAGAAGTAATTTGCATGTTTAAGAATTTTTCCGATACATAAACTTTATATTGTTTTCCTAAATAGTTACTTATGTTTTGAAAATTGCCTACACGAATCATTTTTATTTTTTAAAGATGATAATATCACTCACTTATTATTATTTTTCTCAAAAAGTATTAGATACCTCAAATGTCTCCTTTTATTCTAGTTGATATGTCACGTTATTAAACTATCATTTTTAAAAATAATAATGAATCTATTTAACTCATCAAACACATGTCTCTGCCAGAATAAAAGTAAATTACATGCATAGAAATTTATTTGAACATTATACAAAAAATAATTCACAAATAACCTAATACCCTGCAGATTTTTCTATCAAACAAAATATAATGAGTTAAATATGGCTAATATTAAAAAAGAAAAGAAAAGGTGTAAGGTATAGCATGCCAATTAGGAGTGTCAAAGAATATGAAAAATTGATCGAACCGACCGAATCTAATCGAATCGAATCAATTTATGTCATTCTATCAACAAAATAGTGGAATTTTATTTAAGTGTATAACCGTCCCGAACAACTGAAATGGTCTTTTTAATTTATGAAAAAAATCAAAAAAATTCCGAACCTAACCGAATGACCTTATGTGTATGTAAATATATTTTATATATTAATATGTTAATTTTATATATAAACATATTTTATAATATTTTCAAATATAAATATAATATAGGTCCTACGTCTCTTGTGACTAGACGACTTAGAGTTTGCTCTTTAATTAGTCTTTAATTAATTGAGTTTAAAATTAAAAGATACTATAATAGATACAATATCAAGCAATATGACAAAACCTACGCAAACACTCCTTTTATATGTTTAAGATCAAACAATATGGCAACAGAGTTTTACATTCTTGACTTTCCGATGAAGAATTGAAGTGTTTTTTCAAGAACATATTTGTGAAAGGAGTATTTTAATTATAATATATTTTGAGGTGATATTTCAGTAAAAAAACGAAAAAATCTAATTCTGGTTATACATTATAAAATATCCAAAAAATTGGAATGATATTTTTTTTTAAAAATAACCTACTGAACTGTCCCATTGACACCCCTAATGCCAACTAGAAGGGGGGAAAAAGGTTTTTGAGATGATTAGTATTTTGGAGGAAAATAGTGATAGTAAAATGATATTTTTATCTTAATGAACAAAAGTAACTTTAAAACTTTGAATGCAATTTTCAAAACTTGAATAAATATTTAGGAAATTAACGCTAATTTTGGGTTAAAAACTTATTAGCTCGTAAAAGTCTAAAAATGTACTTTCATTTATTTAACCAAATTATGTTATAAATCCATTGAATTGTGTGGATTGTCCATTAGATTTATTAAAGAATTAATTGAACTAGTATACGTACCCGAGCGTTGCGCGGATATTTTAAAATATAATATTTTTTAAATTTATGAATAACTAAATTACGAATTATTATTGAGTAACAAAGTTCATGTATAATCATATATAATGTTTTAATTTTTCATATACAAATAATGCTAACAAAATTTTACCATAATTTATGTGTAAATAAGGGTATGTTCATAAAAGACTCTAAACATTATTCTAACAACTTCTCCTTCTTCTAATATGATGAAGATTAATAGCATATGTGGCGTGTGTTGAATTGATATATTTGTGCCAATTAATTAAATTTTAAGTTCATAGATCAATCTAAAACCTAGTATTAAAAATATTAACTCTACTTTTAGATAAAATCTAAATATAATTTACAAAGCATGTTGCAACCTCTTTAGCACACTCTTCTCTCGTTTTATCCTACAAATTAAATTAAGATGTTTTTCATTTACTCAAATATAATTTCATAAAATTAGGATGTACAAAATAATGAATTTCAATGATCAATTAAAAAAATACTATAATCAAATTAATATATACCACATAAAATAAATTATCAAATTATATACCACATAAAAATAAATTATTTGCAGAGCAAAACAAAAATTGAAAGATGGAAAAAACGAATCATCTTCTATTCCTTTGATTTACTATAAGTCTCTTCTTTTATATGATAATGCAATAATATCAATGATAAAAATAAAGCTTTTGAAAATGAAAAGATGAAATAGCACTTTGCAAGTCATTATTCATTTTATGAAAATTTTCTCAATATGTTAGGTTGCTAAAGAAATAAAAACTACACCACAAATTTAAATTTTATTGTTTAACTATTCATTTATTAATGTTTTCTTTTTCTTATTTTTTCGTTAATTGTTTCAGTTTTATTTATTTTGTATCATGACATTCTTTAATTTATTGTAATCAAATAGTGACACGATAAGAATTTACCGTTTTTATTTTCTATAATATTTCTCTTTTTAAATTAAAAAAATTCTTCATCCAAAAATAAAGTAGATTTAATAGTTTAAACTTTGAAATGTTTTATTATGAAAATTTCAATTATATTTAGTAATTAAATTTAATCTATTTTACTAATCAATAAATTTAGTATTATATTTAGTATTTTTTTAATCAATTTTTAAATTTACTTCTTATATTTAGTATTTTTTTAGTTCTTTATTTTATTTTTATTTTTAGATTTTAGATTAATTTTACTAATCAATAAATTCTGTTTTCTTAGGAAAATCCACTGTTTTTAACTTCTTCTTTTAAAAAAAAAATCATTTTTAAAATTATCTATTTATTTATTTATTATTAGATTATTATTTTATTCTAAATAGGGCATGTTGTATGGATAGAATTTAATAAATTTTAAAAAGGAAAAAGTAACTACCCATTTCCTACGAACAATTTTAACTTCTGTTTTTTTAAATCAGTTTTTAAATTTTAATTTTTAAATTTACTTATTATATTTAGTATTTTTTTGAGTTCATTTTTTTTTTAGATTTTAGATTAATTTTACTAATCAATAAATTCCGTTTTCTTACGAAAAACCACTGTTTTTAACTTCTTCTGTTTTTAAAATCATTTTTAAATTTTATTTATTTATTTATTATTCGATTATTTTTTTATTCTTTCTTTTATTAACATATTGTATGGATATAATTTAATAAATTAAAAAAAAAGGAAAAAGTAACTACCCATTTCCCTCGAACAATTTTGACTTCTGTTTTTTTAAATCAGTTTTTAAATTTACTTATTATATTTAGTATTTTTAAATTGAAAATAACTAACACAAATTGAAATTATTTAAAAATTAAATTTTTAAAATTGAAAAATTTGTGGTGCTGACACGTGACACTTTTTCCTCTCCTATTATATATAGATAGATTCATGTATTTATGCTTCCAAGGTGATAAAAACCTTTTTGGATAACTATGTATCTACTAGTTTGGTGACCTTTGTGAGTGATATCTCAATACTATAAATAGAGATATCATTCAACATTTGGATGACACACTTAGATAGAAGAAAAACTCTGCCCTTCATCTATATTTCTTGCCTTCTTCTCTTTATACTTATATTATTGTGAGCTTAATCTATACATATAATAAAAGAGAAACATAGACATGTGATGTGACATCTCTCTATGGTGTCCATTTGTATTTATCTTTTTTCCTCCTTTTTGGCATTATTTTTTATTTAAATTTGTTATTGTATTACAAAAGTAAATTATTTAATTTTGTTACAAATAAGTATTTTATTAATGAGAACTTATACAACAAAAACTCTTCATATTCTTTTTATTACCCATGACTTACACCTCTTTAATTTTTACTTTTAATAATAATCATGACTCCCATAATTTTCATGTTCATAACCTCCAAATTGTAATTTTTAAGTTTATAATGTCTTATGGTATTCCTCTATTTTGCCTATATAAATTCATATTTTGTTTCATGAAGATTCACATTCAAGATTATCTTTTCTCTTCTTCATCATATTGATTTGTAACAAAAAAGAAGTAAATGAAGGTAAGAATATTTATTCTCAAGTCTTTTTTTTCATTTTCTCTAGTTTGCCTATATAAATTTATAATTAGTTTCATAAAGATTCATATTCAAGAATACATTTTCTCTTCTTCATATTAGTTTGTGAATTAACTAACATGTAACAAAAAAGAAGTACATGAAAGTAAAAAATATTTTATTTCATAATTATGTTTTTTTTTATTCAATTGGTTAGCATATGATAAAGAGTTTGTTATATGGAGCAGAATATGGTGGCAGATCTACTTGCAAATGAAGATGATAGAAGATTTAAAAAAAAAGGATAAATAGAGATTAATATTTTACTTTGAGTTGTATTAGTAACTTAGTTATTTTTGTTAGAATTTTTTAAAACTTTAATTTGTATAAATAATAAAGCTACATGTATTGACAATGCTACTCATTTAGTTCTTTACTGTTCTACTATTTTTTTTGTTATGAAGCATTGTTAATATAATTATCTCAATGCAACAAAAAGAAATTATGATGATCAAGAGCTTCATTTTTATTATGCTTGCAAAAAAAAAAAAAATTAAAAAATAAATAAATTCTATGATGTCATTTTCTTTGGTATGTAACAATATGTAATTGTTGTCACTGTTTTAAAAAAAAATATGTTTACAATTTTGATGTAGTCACCAATTATTTTATTTTTGTATTTTCACATTTATTTATTTTTACAAATAAATTAATGCACAATTATTAATACATTCAGTGTCTACAAAAATTCATAACTCATGTCTTTTCATTTCACTTGTAGTTTCTACTCTTAAATATTATTCATAATATTTGTAACTATTTAATTATGTTAAAAAAATTATAATAGACAAATGCAATAATAAAGACATAGTAAAGCACACTTCAATTTTTTTTTAAGAAATTAGAATTTGTTTAGAGAATCAGTACTTCTATAAAAGATAGAGGAAATGAAAACATAAAAAATATTTTCAACGTAATACAATATATTCCACGGTAAATGATTAATTCTACTATATACTTATGAATAGTTTGCACTTAGAAATGCATTTTTTTAAAATATATTTTACTATATGTTTAAAAAAAGATGAGAAAATCTATAATGTCGCAAATGAAGAGAAATATCAACATTATCTATATATCTAATACTAACCTGAATATAAATATTATATACTATTGTCTTGTAAATATTTCTTATAGCTGCGCGAAGCACGGACAATTTCACAAATTATTTATATAAAAATGAATAGATTGAAAGATACATAGTCTCAATTACGCAAAGAATATAAAGTATTCAAATAAATTAAACTCAAACTATTTATATGTATTAAGTAAAAATACTCCTTTAAATTTATCTATATCTTAGTTAATATTTCTAAATTATTCTAAAAAGTAAACATAAACAAAAATTGTGGAATTTCCTAATTCTCAAACTTGATTTCATTATTCACAATTATTACATAAGAACAAAAGAATTAACTTTTGTGAAGAAAAAAAAAAATACAATGTTGAAACAATAAAAAGAAATCTTGAAGGATAATGAACAAAACGATTCAAGCCTTCACAATAATAATTTATCTGAAATTTCAAAAAATTATTTAGTTTAAGAATAAATTAAAATTAAATAAATAAATAAAATAATCTTTGTTGGAGTACCAAAGAAGATTAGAATAAATTAAAATTAAACAAATAAATAAAAGAATCTTTGTAGGAATACCAAAGAAAATTATCCTAGCCTCTAGTATTTATTTTATACATACCGTCAATATTCACTACACCATTGAAGATTAATGGACCAAAACAGTAATGTAGGGGTTCCTTTTCCTAGTTTTATATATGAGCTTAATCATATATCTGAAATTTCCCCTAAGTGGTTACTGGAAATTGTGCTTATACTTTATAAATTAATTTGTTTTACCAACTTTTATACTACTGTTTCTTTTCCTTCCCTTCGTTTCCACCGGTCTAGGCAATTTAAACTAACAACGTTTGGAAATGACTTCCCACCAAATTGAGTCACTTTTCCAACGTTCAAAATCGATCATTCATCTTCTCCAACTTCATTCTCTATTCATCAAAACAGCAATTCATCACGACGAGTATCGTCTCTCCCAATTCATATCACTGTCTTCTTCAATATCTCTCCAATTCACCCGTACCATCTTCGATAATTCTCCCATTATTCCATCAATCTTCGCATGGAACACAATGATGAGAGCATATTCCCAAGTAGAGTCTCTGAAGCTCTTTAAACAGTTTCAAAAAATTGGATTAAAACCAGATAGATTCACCTTTCCTATTGTGCTAAAGGTTTCTGGGCATTGTTTGATGATTGGAACGGGTGGATCGTTGCATTCCATGGCTGTGAAGTCGGGTTTTGGTTCGGATTTACATGTGAACAATACCATTTTGAGAATGTATGCTGGATTTGGTGTGATCAGGTTTGCAAGACAGGTGTTTGATGAAATGCTTCAGAGGGATATAGTTTCTTGGAGTTCAATGATGGCTGCTTACGTTCATTGGTATGTATATTTGTTTCAGTTATTTGTCAAAAACACATATTAATTATTACTTTTATACGAATTTCACACCCCAATTATCACAATCTATGTATTAGGATCATATAGCAGACTTTAACTACTTGTGATTCAAGCATGATAGTAGTAATTGTTGTCTTATTATTTACAGTTTCTCCTTCTAAAAGATATTTCATGTATCTACTTATTACTCTGGAATCAGTACATTATTTATGATTTGTGAACCCGGTAAGTGTGTGAAGGCTGAGAGATTCTATAGCATTATGTGGAAGTTGTTTAAGATGATTATTATAATGGGAGTGAATAGAATTACCAAAATTTAAGTAGATTTTGAGCATGACAAGTTTACTACTTTGTGGAAACGAGTTCAAGTATGGTTTTGTGAGGAATTTGTAAATTAAACGTCTTTTGATAGGTCTGACACATAACATGTCAGGATTTTTATGAACAATGCTAGCTTGTAACCTTGTTCGTTATCCTTCAGAAATTTGGTGCCATGGTATTTGTGGTTCTCTTGAGCAATATCTGTGATCTAATACTCTTGGTGAACTTTTTAAAATTCATCCCAGATGTCGATTGTGAATACTTGTTTTGTACCATAAGAAGAAACCAGTATTACTATTACTTGGATATATTAGTTTGAATAAGGAGTTCCAAACTTGTTCACTAGTCTAACTTTTTCTCTTTTTCCTTCTTGCTGCAATACTGCAATAGATTGTTAAACAAAGCCTAGGGTTCATATCTGAAAGGATCAGTAAGGTGTTGAGCCTTTAAGATTGCGAACGGTGCATACTCTCCTAAAAGATCAGGGATTAACAATGATGGAAATTTTCTTTTAAATTGGAAAGGAGCATGTACTCCTGAAAAATAAGGGAGTAAAAATGAAGTAAAATTTCATGGCTTAGATTTCGGTATTTATCTTGGAAAGGTCCCGATGACACTCTTTGAAATGGGGAATTAACAAAGAAGGAAACTTTCATTGTTGAGATGCGTGCAACACTCCAGCCTCTTGTATTTAGGTATGCTGGTCTCACTGCTGTATTTGTTACTTTTGCATACATCAGAGCATTGTTAGTTTTTTTTTTTAATTCTGGAATCTCTATGTACATTCATGTCCAATAAAAACTCTAAGCTTTGAAACCCAATTTTTGCAAACCAATCTTTGGACTTGTTACCTACAAAACTTTTGGAAAGAGGAAGCTAGTTCATGGCTCCAATGGTCGTGAGTATTCTAAAACTAACGAGCTAAGGTGGAATGGTGGATTATGGACAGTAACTTGGTCTAATAGTCTAACACTGCTGCTGTTTAGTTGTCTGGATTGCATATGGATGGATTCCCATGTCAAATTCTATCTGCAATTTAGACCTGAAAAATAAAGAGAAATCCAATAATTAAGTTTCTTTTGAGATAAACTTTGAATTAAACGTTGAAAGGACAACAACTTTATAATGATACTATGGTTAGTTTGTCTTTCCCATGGGAGAGTATAAGGGGCTTTGCATTTATAAATAGGGAATAGGGAGATAATAGAGAAAATATAAGCAGGCTTGACTTTCTCCTGATGAAGTCTCCGAACATTTGGATATTGCTCCTCATAGTTGAAGTAATGACAACGATTCTACTTCTTCTCCCTGCAGGGGTCTCCAACCGTTTTGTCAATACTTTCCCGTCTTATTAATTTTCATTTGATATATAAAAGTGTGATTCAGGATGTCACCTAAGTGAATTCTATAAATTTCTTAAGCCAAGTTCCGCTACATGTGATATGCTCATTTTTTTCCATATAGTGAATCAATTCTTTTATAGACATAGAAGAAGTTGAATAGTTTGTACCTGACCATATAGAGGAACCAGTTTAATGGGCTTTCATGTTCACTTTTCATCCCTTTTTGGAATGCAAATGAATAGTTGCTACCTTGACCTCTCTTTTTGTGTAGGAGGTCTGTTAATATGATTGTCTTTCCTGCTTTCTTTTCCTGTTTAACTTTTACTGTGAGGTTTCTTCTTTCTGTCTGGCTTTTCAAAGTAATAATCTCATAATAGTCAATGTTTTCCTGGATATCTCAGTAACTTGCCTTCAGATGCTCTGCTCCTGTTCCAATGTATGAAGCTAGCAAATGAAAAGCCAAATTCTGTCACTTTGGTTAGCTTGTTGGGGGCATGTACTCGTATCCTGAATATCAGATTAGGTAAATGTATTCACTCGCACATTGTTACCAGTGGTATTGAACTACATGTTGAGCTGGAAACAGCCCTCCTGGGCATGTATGCAAAATGTGGTCATATACAGCAGGCTTTCCGCATATTCAATTTGATGGGTGATAAAAATCTGCAGACCTGGACCATCATGATTTCTGGTCTTGCTGATCATGGACATGGAGAAGAAGCTGTGTCCTTGTTTGCCAGAATGGAAGAATCTGGCTTTAGGCCGGACAGCTTATCATTTTCTGCAATCTTATATGCTTGTAGTCATTATTGGCTTTGTTGGATTGCGGGGGCGTGAATATTTTGAAAAAATGGCAAGTATTTATAACATCAGGCCAACTATGGAACATTACGGATGCATGGTGGATATGTTTGGACGTGCTGGAGAATTAGAAGAAGCTTATGATATTATAAGGAGCATGCCTACAGAGCCTAATTCTGTGATATTGAGGAGTTTCATTAGTGCTTGTAAGCATCATGGTCATATTCCTTGCGCAGAAGAAAATATAAGGGAGATTCTCCTCAAAATAGAGCCTGATCTTGGATCAAACTATGTACTTGCATCTAGTTTATCTTATCTTTTTGGTTATTGCAGCAATGCGAACAGCCTAAGATTGGCTATGAAAGCAAAAGGGATAAAGAAATATCCTGGCAGCAGTTGGGTGCAGTCGCTTGGTAGTTCTTCCGAAGGAAGCAGTTGAAGGATCTGACAGTAATGTTTCTGTTTATGCCAATAGAAGAGGCAATTCAGATCACCAGGAATGAAGGCACTGTTACATTCCAAAGACGAGAGAACAGAATCACGATGGAGGAAAATGAATTGCTTCTTTCTGGGTAATACGAGATCACAGGAATGAAGGAATGGAGGCACTGTTACATTCCAAAGATGAGAGAACACTATCAATGGTGGAGGAAAATGAATTGCTTCTTTTTGGGTAATACCACCAGGCTGAGGTACAAGTTTAGGGGAGCTGTTGCTTTGACCATTGGAAGAGGGTCTGAAGTTCCTAACATTCTTGCATAATTTGGAATAACTTGAAAAATGAAGATTACATTGTGCGGTGATTTTGATTTGTAGCTCATGGGATATGACATTTGAGAGGAACTCCACAAATTGGTATACTTCTGGAAGAGGAAAACCCGTGCTCTGTCAGAGCCACAACTCTGTTGTTATCCTTCTCAAATTATTCCTAACAATCAATCATGCCTAGATATTGGACTAGTTGGGATCAGCTTTATGAGTCTCCTATGTCCATTCTACCTTATTTGGGGCCATTCTTTTCGATACTGGTAAAAGATTTGTTTTCTCCATAAACTACTCTTTCTTTTTAAAATGTGGTTAGGGTTAATCTTGGAATTCTATTCAGAAGTTGGGATGCCCTTAAAGTGGCACCTCCGCATGGCCTGAAACTTTTGTTAAAAACTATGAGGTATTCCCATGGGGAAACAAATTCAAAATATTTTATGAATGTCAAGACTCAAGTCCTTTGCTTTGAGCTCTGGAAGTTTAAATTAAACCAAGCGGTATTTTCATTTATCTGGTAGTTTAACTGTTATTTGTGAAATGAAGGAGAAGAAAGCAGTGAATATGTCATGCTGGAGTAGTTTTTGTTGCAAGCAAAATATGGAAAACGAAGCTTTGATAGTTGTACTACTCAAAGTAGCAAGTACATTTGGGTTGATATAATCTATGAAAAGAGAGCATGGAAAATCATCTGACTTCCATTGCACCTGCATCAGCATGTGTCTGCTTTTAAGGTATTCCCCTAAATGCTTTGAAAGTATAATCACATACACATCCATTTGCATGTTATTTTTCGGAGCTTGACATGAAGCCATCAGGAATGGGTCATGCTCTGTGTACTCTGTATCTGTCGATCTTCCATGTCCTTCACATTCCATGATTTAGGTATGATTAAGCTTTTCTTAGAATACTCAACTGCCATGGGTTAGTGAGGTAAACTTTGGATATTTATCACAACAGAAAAGAACCACTTGACTGAAATCCATAATCAATATTCAATTAACGTTCTTCTGGTCTCATCTGCTTAAACATAAGGATCCATTCATTTGTATAATGCTGTTAATGACAATATCAGATGAACCTAGTTTGGTGGAAACCTCTTCGCTGTGTATTAGATCATTGCATATGAAAAAGTTTCAAGCTTCCTATTAGTTCATGAGCAATATACCGTATTGAATTGCTAATGTATATCATCTGAGATCATCCTGCACTCTAAATTATTGGAGGCAACTGGCCTGCGATCTCAAGCTGATCCTGTCTTGTTGTTAATCATTTTGAAGACTTCTCCTCTTTTGAATGGTGACGATCCTTATATGAGATGAGACATGCAAAGTTATTCACGCATGTTAGAAAGGTTGAGCTAGCTGGGACGTGGAGAAGGTGATCTATCAACATGGAGAACCTGACATCTGGTGGAGCTGCGTGAAAAAATTGGAGAATCTCTAGAAGGTATGTCTATATGTTAGATTGGAGTTCTATCCACAAGGAAAAGCAATCCGCAAATGTCTGAACAACCATTATCATTGTTTAACATGGCATAAATTTAATTGTTTTACTATTGATATGCTGGTGTATGGATTCATTTGTCTCGAATATGCATTAGTTTTTTGATGTATGAGATATATTACATCTTTTTTTCTTCTGAAAAAGGCATTCTAATCAATTATTAATCAAAGGAATGTTTAGTAGCTCATGAATTAAAGATGGGGTTTAACCAAAGATAGAACCCAATGCCCGAGCTAGCTAATGGGCACATTGGTTCGCTGGTCTTTTAACAAAAGACGAGGAAATAGAAGTAAAGCCACACATGAGTGCTATACAATCTCGAATAATAATATCAAAAAAAAATAAGAGTTGTTGTTGTAAGATTTTTCTGATGCTTGTTTAACCCAAAGACTTTCAATCTCCACAATAATTGTTATTGATGAAAAATGTTCCTTTAGCGAGCTTAGTACTTCTCGAACACCCAAAGCCTCAACCAAAAGGGAGTCATGCGGCGTATCTAATCAACTAGAGTGACCTCTCATGAAGTTTCCATGAGAATCACGGACTAGCATGTCTGACTCGCTCCTACCAAAGTAAGGTCTAAAGAAGGATCAATGTTTCTCTTAAGGATATTCTCATTAGGAGGAAACCATCTAATTGGACCAAACTCTTACTCGGGACTCCTACTCGAGTCTCAATCCTGAACCAAGACACCTGACTCAAAATCTAACCCTAACTCAAGATTCGAGCCTTGAGACCTAGGATCTAAGCCCCAACCCTCGGCCTTGGCCTAGGACCTAGGACATGACACCTAAAACTTGATCCTGACCCAAGGCTCGAGACCCAAAGCTCGAGACCCTTCGACACTAACTCGAGATTCAACTAGGAACTCGAACACTTACCGTCTAGAACAATTCGATATCTAACTCTGACCTTAACCCGAGACCCAATCCTCGAGATTCGAAACCTACAACCTAACCTTCAGTCGTGACTGCCGACTAGAACCTCGAGACTTGACCCGGATCCATATTAAAAATCAAAGTGAAATTTTAGCAGTAAACCCAAATTAAAGTAAATCTTTAAAATGTGCTAGAGTTTGACAAAATTTAGAGATCACTTTAAAAATGAGTTATGTTTGGTTAGATTTAAGAGGGTCAACCCAATATGAAATTATCTTGTGCTTAAGATTTTGGGTGAATTGGGTGGACCACCAATTTTCAGGCCATATTTGACACCCGTACGTAAGTGTGTGAACTGAAAAATGGGCCAAGTTATATGATTATTCCTTAAAACCTCTATTTACTTCAAGGAATACTTTATTTTTTCTACTAGTAATAAGAGGTTAGGAAGTAGGTCATGGACGACATGCTTGCTTCCAGACGAGGGCAAGACAATAATTTTATACTTGGTTGTGTGCTTTTGTCACGACCCAAAATCGGATGTGATGGCACCTGTCTTATCCCACCAAGACAGGTCAGCCTAAACCCAAATACGATAAGGTGAATGTGGAAGTTTAAACAAAATAAGGAACTAAGTATAACACAAACATGCAGAAACATAATATAACTCAAAATACCCCCAAAACCTAGTGTCACGTTTACAAGCCTCTAAGTATTACAATAGATTCAAAGAAGTACAAGTATGAATGTCTTTGTTGCTAGAGCAAAACAAGAACATAATTAAAGAATAAGAGGTTTCCGCCGATATGACAAACAAGTACCTCACAACTCTTCATAGTAAGCCTCGGATGTAAAAGAGAAGAAGGAATAATCACGATGATCCGAGCTCGTACCCTACACAAGTGTAGAAGCAAGAGAGCGAGTACCAAACAACACGGTACTCAACAAATAAACGACTAACTCAAGGTAAAGCAATACATAATACAAGTATTCCCAACACTCCAACCGAACCTCCACAACTACAACCTGCACAGAATAAGTCCAACCTAACAATTCACATTTATATAGCACATAAACATGAATAGCAACACTTTAAACGTATACAGGTCACCAATACAAAAGTTGATATTCATCAACCACAGGCTCCATAACAAGCACTCACAAGGTCTACAAATGGTAATGATGTGCAATGTAATGAAATGAAATGTCAAATATAGTAATGCATGTCTGTCCTAACGATACACATCCGCTAAATATCAGACTGGGACCCATGGGGGACTCACAAGGTTCATGTATCCGCCGGAATCATTTTCCCTCGTCATAGTCATCAATCACCGAAACCATTTTCCCTCAGCATAATCATCAAAATAGATCTCAACACAGTGTTTTAGAACCAATGCAAATAGGCATGTCCACACAATAATGAGAAGATGACTATTTCCATATCAATACACAATCCATATCAACACAATCATGATACATCATCAATAATGAATCAATATAATCTTTCAAATCATCCACAACACATCACACATCATTATACCATCAAGTTACCTTTTATTTCCCCTTCTTCATCACTAGAATCATTCAATATGACTATCTGACCACAAATATCAAACCCTTCACCACTTTCCATTTCTACCCAACGCATACAATAAGGAATACAAGATTCTATATACTTAACAAAGGGTCAAGAAGTCCACTTGTCTTGAACAAACAATCAATCACCCCTGCACTTGAGCTTTCCCTTCACGTAGAGCCACATAATCCACACCAAGTAATCAAATATAGAATACCCATAAGTAAATTTGAACAACAACACATATAATGTTGATTTTGAAAATCTGGTTCGTAATGACCCAAAAAGTCAATCTCGAAGGCTAGGGTCAA